TTGAAAGAGAATAAGGAAATCATTGGGTGGGGGGTTACAAAGTGAAATGGAAATGATAAAAAAGTAAATAGTAATAGAGTTTTTGGCACTGAAAAAAAAAAAAAAAAAAAAGAATATAATTATTTTTATTTTATTTTTTTTTTTATTTATTTTTGATATTCCCAAATAATTGACATTATATTCATCCCATTATTGAAACAGTTAAGAGAGATTTCTTGTCCAGGATTTGATGAAAAGACAAAAGAAAACCTTTTTCTAAAGTTACGCTTAAGAGAAGAAAAATCATGAAGTATAATAAAAGTGAGAAGGGAAAAGAGAAGGGAAGAGGCAAAGGAAAGGAATAAAAGAGGAAAGAAAAAAGGAAAAAAAGAAAAGAACAAAAAACAGTTTAAAAAGATTTATCATGAAAGAAAAAAAAAAGTGTATATTTAGAATGAATATTTTTTTTTATCCATAATAATTTTTAATCCTTGAATCTGAAAAGTCCAATAGAAATTCATTATCACATATTGCCAGAAATTGTGTTTGAATAAATCATCTCGTTTTTTTTTTCCCCTCCCTGACCCACTTCATAAATATTACTGGACAACCATCAGATTCAGTTTGCAGACTTTAATTACAAGGACAAACATCGTGAAGCAGTCAATTTTTCAACCTTTCAAACTGTTCAGTTCGGAATGGTCTCCAGCATTTGATATGTTTAATTAACAGGAAAGCGATTGATCCAATTAGTGGCGTGCAATAAATCAAAGATGCAACAATAGGCTTTCAAGAAACTCAACAAAGACGCAATGAAAAAAAAATATGGAGAATACAAAACAATAGAATTAAATGAGGGAGAGAATATTAAGTTAGTGATATCATGAATCAATATTGAAAGCATGAAAATGCAATAAAAGATTATGATAGAATCAGGAAACAATAGAAACACGAGTTAAAATTCAGTTGTATCAAAAAACCTCAAAGAGAAAGGTACTTTGATTAGATCATCATTTGCAGCTGTCCAGACGTTCTTCTTTCATATGCCATGTTCATTCAGGACGTGGACAATCATGGCTTTCCACAACTTCCTATCCTTTGTAGTTTTTAGCAATGTTTGTCTTTATACTCTTCTTCACAATCGGTAGCATGCAAAAGTTGGTGAGGCAGAGGGTGCGACAGCCCTGGGCATCTAATTAAACTGTGTAATAAAAATTTAGTTTATATTTAATTTGAAAAAAAAGTGTTTATTTCATGTTTCATCTGCTTTATATATTTAAAATATCTTCCTTTTTCACATTTCTCTATAGCCCACACCAAAAAAACAACTCAATTCTTAGGGGTATACAATCAAGGAGTTGGCCCCAAGCATCACTGCTACCAATGAATTTAAGCATAATACTAGATTGGCTAATACATTTAATTTTTTTTTTTTTACTGTTAAAATAGCTAGATGTAACTATAAGTTCCATTCTAATAATTTCTTTTCTCACACTTATCACCTGTGGAACTCTCTTCCGATTTCTTGCTTCCCTGCTACCTCTGTCTTCCTGAATCCTGTTCCTCTCATTCCCTTCCATTCCCAGTAACATTGAGTCTTAATATCATTAACACTTTGCTTGGGGTGAAATGATTAAAAAATGTCCATGTTCTGCCATCCATTTATATACGTTTCTTATTTATTACTTGCCATTCCCCTCTTGCCTTCAATATGCGCTCCAAGTGTCAAATTCTCTAAACTCTCTTTCCAAATTAAGAGTTCAAGGAGTTTCAATTCTCTTTCTCATTTTAAGTATACGTGTCCTTTTTCTTTCCATTCTTCTTAAAATTTCATTGCTCAAACGTCATCAATGGTTTTCTACGCATCTTTCTGTTGAACCATATATCTGTTGCATCAAGTCTCCTCTTCATCAGTGAGAAGATTTTCCAGCATTTTCACTATCATATAGAAGAACTGACATTACATAACAGTTCAAAACTTTTATTGTTTCTAATGAAATTTTTCCTTTTTTTATAATACTTTGTTTAGCTTTTGAAAGGGATCATTCCCTATTCGAATGACATTCAAATTTTACATTTCCATCATCTGCTATGATACTTCCCAGATATTTAACTTGCTGTCCTTACTTGATTTTGAAATCTAATTTGTAGCTTGCATCTTGCACTGTTCCTCTTGCTCATAAGCAAACATCTTCCTACAATTGATGGGTAACACTTTCTTCCTGCTTTCCTTTACTAACTTGTCTGAGAGTTCTTGCCGTTTTATTTCTGTGCCAGTCACAATCATGACATCATTAGAAAGCTTCTGAAAAAGGTAAATCCATCAAGAATATTTTCAGAAGAATAATTATCAGTTCCAGGACATGCAAGTCGTCTAACAGATATCCGCATGGAATGTGGAACCATCAAGCAGAGTACAAATTCTGGGCTATCATTATGTTCACTTTTTGCACAAATACCCTTGAGAATGGCATGAATTTATTAGTTCTCCAACTTCCCCAGCTATGTGTTAAATAGCAGGGTAGACTGGACTCTCTAGCCTTGGATAGTAACTAGTCTAAGATACGGAAAACTCTGAATTCCAAACTGTGGCAAAGGTAATGGGAAACCATTCTATTATCTTTCCAAAAATGCATGGTAATTCACAGATAATAAAAAGATAATTTGTGGGGATTCTTAGCTGCCTACATCCCTTCAGGGACACGGCAAAAAAAAAAAAAAAAAAAAAAACTAGCAGTGCAAAGTTCTTCACACAGGTGGTTAAGTCAGATCTATATAAATTTTCTTTAATTAGGATAGAAGAAATAGGGAGGATTTGTATTGGGAGAAAAAAAACGTTACATGGATTGCTAAAAATAGAACAGCCTGTGTGGCTCAAATTTCCAAGAATGAGTTTAATATCAATATCTTTTTCACCATTTCTTAACCATTTTTTGGAAAAAGAAAAAAAAGAATTTCAAATGTTTCCTTACTATTGCAAACATGCAGAATAGCTCAGCTAAAACACTGTTAACAAGAGAATTAACATAATAGGTTCAACAGCCCCAAAACAGCTTTTAATCATAAGGAACCTCAAAATTACAGGTTCCTTTGTATATGTGAAGAAAGCTGTAGAATAAATCAACCAAAACATTGTGATAACAAGAATAATTTGAAGAGCCCAAACAAATCTTGAAATAAAAACTCTTCTTAAAATTACAGGTTCCTTTTTATACCAGAATAAGGCATTAGAATGAATCAACCAAAACATTGTTTTATAACAAAAGCAATATAATGAGTTCATGACCCCAAACAAATCTTGAAGTCCTAAGAACTCTACTTAAAATTACAGATATAACAGGGTAGTAACCTTGGTTCAGTGTTTTACTGTATAAGGGAGGTAACTCTGGGTCAATGTCTTACTGCATGAAAATACCTCAGAGGATTTGAAGCAGGAAATAAGGAAGATTAAAAAGTGAAAAAACTCAAGGAAACTAACTGTGAAAGAGAATAAGGAAAGTAATAACTGTTTAAAAATAATGATTAGAAGCCATAAAATGATTTTGGAGAAAACTCCAAAAAGATTTATACTTGAAATAAACCAAACAGAATTCATTAAGATGGCGTATGACTAGATCTTCCTCAAACCACTTACCTCCCTCCCAGGCAATTTGACAAAGATTTATGGTTTTCTGAAATTTCCCAAATTCCAAAGAAGAATTCTTGATTTAATTATACAAAATACTACCACTCTAAAATGTTCATTTTGTGACCAAAATTCTGCTTGACCACATTCTAATAAGAACCATGCGTTACTGAACAAAGTGGTTCATATGAGTATTTTGTAAAAAGTTATATAATAAATCAATTTTAGGTATGAGCAAATTTCTCTACAAAAACACAACAGATAGAGCTGAGAAGAATGAGCAGAAAAAGAAAAAAAAAAAAAACAAACAGGAAAACCATGACAGAAATATCCATTACTGAGTTTACCAGTCTTGTTGTTCCTTATGCAACCTCTAACAAACACACAGATACAAGCTCAAACATACAAGAATATAGTGCAATGACCAAATTGCCTTATATTCTTACAAATTACTGCAAGAAAACTTTCTAGTCAAAAAGTTATAAATCAGGCTATGTAGAAAGATTAATAATTCTTTATTTCTTGCATATTTTTAAATTCTTGTTTTTTTTTTTTTTTTCATTAAAACCTATTGTTAGTTACCAAGTTGGTTTGTTCTGTGAAATTAGTTTTCAGCAGAGACAAAGAGGTCAACATAGCTTGTTGAGAGTCATGCCAGAATTATCAGCAGAAATTGCAACAACCACTGGGTGAAATCACCATAAAACTTGTTTATCTCTTAGCATGCTTATATCTAGAAGCAGTGATCATGAAGAACAGTAACAGTGCCAAGTGATAACCTTAAGAATTTTTGATAGCACTGGGGAGATTGACTGGTGTTTTTGTATACCTAAAAACAGCCAAAGAATAGACTGACCAAAACATTTTGATAAGAACAAAAGCAGCATAATGAAATGGCTCAAGAACACCAAGAACTATTGCACCAAAAACAAAAACTGGATACACATCTGTATTTCTTTTATGCACAAAATAATCCAACTTAAAACAACCTAAATTCAGTTGTTGGTCAAAGTTCAGTAATGATTTACAGAGAATTGTTAATATATTCTAATTATTTTAATTTTTACTTAGTTTTTTTTGTTTTAATCTCAACCATGTCTGACACAAGGTTATATTCATGGTGCACCCAAGATTGTTTTTTGTTTCATTTTAACAGCTTATCAACCTTTTGCAAGTTATTTAAAGGCAGAAAATATTTTTGGATTATAAGAATTTTTTGGAGACAATGATTTTTTACTGATACAAATTCTACTACTTAACCTAGAGCTGATGGGAGGAGGGGGCATATTCATATTGGGTATTTGTGCATACATGAATATAATGAACCTGACTGGAAATGAATCTCCTGTTTCCAATTCCAAACCATTATCCATCACACCATTTTGCACATCCAAGCTACATCACCTGGTATTCCCAAGCTGTCACCCATCTAGGTATTGGCAAGGCTTGACATTGCTTAACTTCAGTGATCATACAAGAACTGGTGTTTCAACGGGCGCAACCAAAAAGGAATAAAGCCACAAGCAATGAAACTTATACAATCTATTAACTTACTGGAAAGAGTAACTCTGCGGCTCAATTATCATGATGGTTCTGAAGAAGAGCAAAAATAAATGAATAGAATTTTTTTTTTTTTTTTTTTTTTTTAAATCGAGAACCATTTTTTTTTTAAAATCGAGAACCATCAGAGAACTGTACTAGTTTTGTACTATGATGACATGCGAAGGTACCTAAAATAAAATATCTTTGCTAAGAATGAATATAGAAACCGGACATTTTAAGTGGAAAGAAAGTTCGACAAACATTTTTTGTTAGATACAAGACATAAGTTTTTCTTTTTAAAATTGTTATGTAGCAATAAAGTGTTGCTGCCAACACTAGAATTTGAACACAGATCACCAGAGAGCAAATACAAGCCATCCCATTTTGAATAAGTAGAACACGTGATGGTAAATGAAATGTATATATGGTAATTATCGAGCAAGTACTATTAGTGCAAGTGTTAGTCGAAGGTGTCTGGCACCAGTATTGTTCAACAGCATTACTACAGTTGTATCTGCGATTACAAAGTCACTACTACAACAAGCATTATGAAAGTGACAACAAGTATTCATTGACATACAAAAGTGGCAACCAGGGTTCATTGACATCACAAAAAATATCTCATATTTATACTAGCATTAGATATATTTATACTATCATATAATATCATATTTGTACTCACATTAGTCATATTGACTCCATCATGAGCAAAATTAAAATCAAATAAAGAATTGTGCAGAAAGAGGAACGATAAAAATTAATATAAAGCATAGTTCCATAAGGGCTTTAAGAAAGAATATAATAATAGCCAACTTAAGGGAGAAAGAGATCATTCAAAAAATGACATTATCTCTGCAGTTCCTCTATAGAAGATCAAATTTTGTTATACAATCTGCCTGAATAATAATTTTCAGGTTTTTAAATGTTTACAAAATAATTAAGTGATAAATATTAATAATATGGATTTAACAAAGTGCATTGACAAAGAAGAATTTTAAAAACACTTTTTTTAATGCATATCATCAATGAAAATGATTGCATACAGGAAATTATTTCTGCTTATTATTGCTGTACTCTACACTTTCCCCAACTCCTTTTTCATCTTGTGGCTTTCTAAGCATCTTGGAACAGTCTACTGCAGAATTATGGGAGCAAAGGAGATAACTACAAGAGTAAAATTTTAAAACATTAAGAATTAAAAAAAAAATAAAAATGGTATATTATTTATTAAGAAATATATTGTGTTATGGGAGCATGATTAAGTGGTTAAAATGTTAGCATTATGAATATAAGACCTGGGTTCATATCTCACCATAATCAATTCATCAAGGCAATGACTTATTGCTGCACACTTTGTTTCCTTAGGCTGTTATTCAGCCTAAGTTGACAGAACTATTACTAAGTGCCTGAAAACTAGACGACAGATTGGTCCAAATATTTTAAGTGAAACTGTTCAGGAATTGTCAGCGATTGTGCTTGCCTCATGTCACAAGCAAGCATGGCTGAGCATTTGAGCGTACTGGACTTGTTCAACTCCTTATCACATCATGTCCACCTCCCTCTCTCATAAACTATAATTGAGGTCTGCACAACATGGTTACAGTATACACCATAGGTGGGCTGTGTGGGTATTGAATTCATACAAATGTGTCTGAGCAGGTGTCAGCAACAAGGATTAGCTGGCCAATCTAGCAAATGAGTATACTGAAAAACAAGCAGCCAGCCATTGTCTATGCAACTTTGAGAAGACCCCTGTAACACAACATTATTCAGATGTTCATAACTCCATATATTTACTATTGTTAATACAATATTTTGTTTGAGCCATTCTTCAGCCTGCCTCCCCTAGCACTATTAAGTTCCAGATGCAAACAGATAAAATAGATATTTGTAGTATTTCCACTATTTATATTCTGACTATTGTCCTCATCTTGGTTGCTGTTATTACTATGTTTAAGCCATTATGCCCTCCAGTCTTCCTCAGGTGTATATCTATCTGGATAACTTAAAAGGGTCCAGTTCAGAATTCCCTATATTTAATCTATGGGGGTAGACTGTTCTCATTCCACTACCCATGTATACAGATATCATCTAGTCTTTATTTTTATTTAGTACTGATCAGTTATTACACACACATTTCTACTAAGTGAAAGTACACACTGCCTAACCTAGTGATTGAACTCACAACCAAATTCACAAACCAACCAGACAATGGCCTAGAGGATAAAAGTGGAAGGCATAACAGCCAAAAGTAATAATGGCAATAACCAAAATGAAGACAATAATCTGAACATAAAGTGTAAATAATGGTAACTCCTCATCCCAGAAATTCAGACAAAGATATTTGTAGTGTTTAATAAATGTCTTTTTTCATCATTATGTGATAATTATCAATGCACCTATGTCAAGCTGAGAATTGTTGTACAATAAACAATTAATTCATTTGTTTTTTACAGCTTAACCTTTTACAGGTTATTTGAAGCTAGAAATTATTTTTAGATTGTAAAAACTTTTTGGGAATAACGATTTTCACTGATACAATTCTATTAACTCATGACTTGGGGGGAGAAAAGGTGGAATCAAAACTTACCCAGGGGTATTTGCACCGAAGTGAAAATAAGAAACCCGACTGGAATTGGAACTCAGCTCTCCTATTTTTAATTCCGAGCTGTTATCCAGTACAACACCCGCACATCCAAGTTACAGTACCTGGTATTCCCAAGTGGTCACCCATCTAGATAGTGACCAGGCTGAATGTTGTTTAACTTTGGTGATTATATGAGAACTGGTGTTTCAACATGATATGACTGTTAAGTAGAAGGATCTCAATGTTAAGAAACACTGCCATAGGAAATTAGTCTGGAATTAAGAAAACATTACAATGAGTGCTGCTTTGGTAACAATTGCTATCACAAAAAGAACCAACTAATAAAGATGGTGATTTGAGATAATATCAAGTGTAACACTAGACAAAACATGAATTTATAGTATCAAGTATGGTGGTATCAAATATAAAATAATACAATGATGTGTCTGTGTACATTAATGTATCAGGTTGCAAGTCTCTCATCTTGTCATTTCGTATTTAGGAACATGACAGGAAATTGTGATAAAAGTGAGAAGGACAAACCATCAATTGTAAGACAGAAAGTAAGGTTGTCAGCAAGAGAAAAAGCCCAAGATGACTTGGAGATATCAACATCAAACAAGTACAAAAGTTTAATTATCTGGGAAGTGTTTTAACAGTGGATGAAAAATGTGACACCAAAATCTGATTTTGCATTGGATCAGTGAAGGATGCTTTCCAAAAGCTAAGCAAAGTATGAAGAAATAGGAAAATTTTATGAGAAACAAAGAAAATATAATTGTTATGTAATATCAATTCTTCTATATGGCAATAAATTTTTGACAATTTCCTCACAGATGAAGAGAAAACTGGAGGCAACAGAAATAATTCTACAGAAGGATGCTGTGAATGTCATGAACAGAGCATATAAGCAAACAATGAAGTCTTAAGGAAAATGTAAACAAAAAGGACATATACTCAAAATCAGAAAAAAGTTGAAATTTCTTTGACAATTAATGAGGAAGGAGGGCTTGGAGAAGTTGACACTCACAGAACAAGAGAGAAAAGAAAGCAGCGGGTTACTTACCTGATGAACTTGTATAAATGGATGGTTAAACAAGGGGAGGCGGAGGTTAAAAAAAAAAAAAAAAAGATACATTCTATCAGGGACAGCAAGTTGTGGAGATCCATGATCTCTCACATCCTGAAAGGACACAACACACAGAATGATATATTTAAAGGAAACACTAGAATTGTATCTTGAAGATATGCATTTGTACAGAGGTGCACAGAGGAAGGTTTCAGCCCATAGAGATTACAAAACTATGTTTATATAAGACCCTGCTGGAAGTGATGAAACATTTGAAGTGTCACTAATTATATAAAATTGAAGAAGAGTCATTAAGATAACAATGTGCCCACTGTTAAAATCCATTCCTTTCAATTGACTAATCATCAGCAATCATTTCACTTATTTGGCTTTTTAAAAAAATCTTCTTACACCTCATGTTAAACCCTTAAAGTGCCTGGTTTACTCAGTCATGTTACCCCAGCAGCTGCAGATACAAACTCCAAGAAAAATAAACAGTACAAAACGAAGATAAACACTAAAAGAATAATGTCCTAGTTAAAGCAGTAAATGCAATCAAAAGGGCAGACCCCAAGAAAACATTAAAATATTGCAGCATTTGCTTTTGGAAGCCACTGCAGCATAGCATCTTAATAGCAAATAGATCAATACAGAATCCAAGAAGTTTCTTTTTTGTTTTGCTTCATTTTTTTTTTTCTCTTTAGCTGACCAAAAATATTTTCGGAGAAAATTATCAAGCTGTAGTTTTAACATAATGTGAATTTAAAGCACATTTCAACCATACTCTCTGAATTTTCTAAGGCCAAACAAACATCAGAGGCTTTTCCAATCAGAATAACTAATTTGATTAAAGAGTTGGGAAAATTCATTTCCTATGGCCGTAAGGGCCAATGTTAATGGGTCTCAGTAAAAGAGGCAGCACATTTTAGTGTATTTCAACTAAATGCTTCCAGATTTACAAATGAGCGAACAAGATATACCCCACCCACTCACATGTTTATATAATCTCAGGAATACCAAGCTGGAGCAGGTTGTTGATTCAAGTGTGATTAATCATATCAAGATGGTCATTGTTTCTAAGTGCTAACCAATTTTACTTTAGAATATAGATTTATATACATATTTAACATCTATGCAAAGTCATAAAAATATCCCATGCATAGGCATACATGTATATAAACTTAGTCTACAAGATGCAAAGTAATATGAATGGAAAAATTCATCTTTCTTTTATCTTCCCAGTGATTGAATAACTAAGGTTGATGTCCAAAAAGTAAAGTACAGTCAGGTAGAAGTTAACAAGAATTAAGACTTGCAATCACAAAACAACTGGAAGTATGCAGTACATCTTGAAACAATTAGAACAGCCGTAATATTAAGTGTATGCATAGAAACAAAGAAATTAGGACTAAACTGTTATGTCATATCAGTCCTCCAAAATATCAGTGAATGCTGGACAATCTCCTCACAGATAAAGAATGGAAAAGTAACAGAAATGCACTTCTACAGAAGGATGGTGAGAATACCGAAGACTGAACAGGTGAGCAACAACAAAGTTCTAGATAAAATGCAAACAAAAAGGACACTTATACTAAACACCAGGAAAAGAAATTTCTAAGGTACATAATGGAGGGATTGGAAAATTTGATACAGGACAGATTGAAGTAAAGACAGAGGAAAATAACACATAACTTACCTGGTGAGCTTGAGTGAATGGATGGCAGAGTAAGGTATGGTAAAGATAGAAAGTAAAAATTTGTTAAGAGCTAGAGGGGACAGGAAATTGTAGAGAGCCATGATAGCCAACATTCTGAAGGGACATGGCACATAGATCTCTCAACAAAGAACACTGCTACTATAAAATAGTAGATGTGCAAGATATAAGATTTATGCAGGACATGGACAAAAATCCAACAAATTCTCCATGAATTTCTTGCTGTGTAGAGTGAATATGTACAGAGTAGGTATCAATCTGGTGTAGTGCATTCATAAAGAGTTGAATGATTTGCATATCAAGCTCCATGTCCAACAGTAGATAGTACTGACATTGTTGATGTTTTAACTCAAGATAAAAGACTGCAATCTTTGTAATATTGCAGTTGAAGTTGATCTTCCAAAACTGGTGATCCAAGAAGAAGTTGGAAAGTGTCATCTTGTTGGGTTCTTAAGCAACAGACTGAGGAATATAATTTCCAATGCATAAGCAGCTTTTTGCAATGGTATTTTTTTCTCGTTCATTCAGTACAAGACCAAAGAGCAACTTATGGAAGACGGTTAATGAATGATGTGCGTGATATGTACATGTAAAGGAGAATCAGGTCAACTTCAACAATTGGCTGTTGAGAGAGGACATTCTACTTATAGTAAATGGTGCTGAGAAAATTTGCATACAAATGATACTGGGGAGGTATTATCCAATAATCAGCATGGGTCCGGGCTGGGAGAGCAAAATAACATCAGCTCTTTCTCAGTCATAGAAGTGAACTCTCAATGTGTGACAAAACCAGACAAGACAAACACAGGCTATTTCAGCTAGGTTGATATGTTGAGTGTCACTGTCACAATGAAGTTGGCATATGATCGCTCATCCAGCCCAAAAAGAATGCGAGTTTCGTCAATTCACCCTACTACAGCTGCTACTCAGTTATGGAAGAGTGCTCTTAATGTGTGGAAAACCAGACAAAATGGACACAGAATGTAAGAGGAGAAAGTAAGTGAAGACTATGAGGATATGACAGATAGATAATGATTGAACAGGTTACGATGGTAATTTTCAGGAAAGCATCCACATGGGAGTTTGTGACATAAAGTAGCAGTTATTGAAAAGAGGCTTTCAGAGTGGAAGCCTCTTCTTAGCAAAGGAATACATACAGAGTGTGGGTGATTCAACCCAGTAGACATAACAAGGCAGGTCATTGCTGTAAAGAATAGGTTCCAGAGTGGAAGCCTCTTCTTACTAAAGGAATACATACAGAGTGTGGGTGATTCAACCCAGTAGACATAACAAGGCAGGTCTTGGCTGTAAAGAATAGGTTCCAGAGTGGAAGCCTCTTCTTACTAAAGGAATACATACAGAGTGTGGGTGATTCAACCCAGTAGACATAACAAGGCAGGTCATTGCTGTAAAGAATAGGTTCCAGAGTGGAAGCCTCTTCTTACAAAAAGGAATACATACAGAGTGTGGGTGATTCAACCCAGTAGACATAACAAGGCAGGTCTTTGCTGTAAAGAATAGGTTCCAGAGTGGAAGCCTCTTCTTACTAAAGGAATACATACAGAGTGTGGGTGATTCAACCCAGTAGACATAACAAGGCAGGTCTTGGCTGTAAAGAATAGGTTCCAGAGTGGAAGCCTCTTTACTTACTACAAGTGTGGTGATTCCTCTTCTTGGCTGTAAGGAATACATACAGAGTGTGGGTGATTCAACCCAGTAGACATAACAAAGGGTTCAGGTCTTTGCTGTAAAGAATAGGTTCCAGAGGGAAGCCTCTTCTTACTAAAGGAATACATACAGAGTGTGGGTGATTCAACCCAGTAGACATAACAAGGCAGGTCTTTGCTGTAAAGAATAGGTTCCAGAGTGGAAGCCTCTTCTTACTAAAGGAATACATACAGAGTGTGGGTGATTCAACCCAGTAGACATAACAAGGCAGGTCTTGGCTGTAAAGAATAGGTTCCAGAGTGGAAGCCTCTCTTACTAAAGGAATACATACAGAGTGTGGGTGATTCAACCCAGTAGACATAACAAGGCAGGTCTTTGCTGTAAAGAATAGGTTCCAGAGGAAGGTTCCTCTTCTTAGCAAAAGGAATACATACAGAGTGTGGGTGATTCAACCCAGTAGACATAACAAGGCAGGTCATTGCTGTAAAGAATAGGTTCCAGAGTGGAAGATTGTAACAACTCTTCTTACTAAAGGAATACATACAGAGTGTGGGTGATTCAACCCAGTAGACATAACAAGGCAGGTCTTTGCTGTAAAGAATAGGTTCCAGAGTGGAAGCCTCTTCTTACTAAAGGAATACATACAGAGTGTGGGTGATTCAACCCAGTAGACATAACAAGGCAGGTCTTGGCAAAGAATAGGTTCCAGGCAAAGGAATACATACAGAGTGTTTCAACCCAGTAGACATAAAGAAAAGGTTCCAGAGTGGAA